CTGGGTGTGCCCCCCGCGCCTGGCTCGGCCAGTGAGCGGGAACCGGTCTGTATGTGGGATCCGAACCCTTGGCGGGAGCACCGCCGCGCTTCCCAAGCGGCGCACTATAGCAGTGTGCCACCGGGCCGGCCCATCCAGTGTAAGAACTTTTAATGTTGACTAAGGTATGTGTGACCATGGAAGACTTTACTTCACTCATGACACTGAGAGTGTTTTTATTCAGTGTGAATCCTCACAGGTCCTATAATGTTGGTCCATGTTCTCATGTTTATTTCACTGAACTGCTTCTTCAGCATGAATTATCTGGTATTTCCCAAAAGACTCAACACTTTTTTTTCTTATTTTATTCTAAGCTTTTGTGCATATCAAGGCTTGAGCTTTGCATGAAGACTATAGAGTTTATCCCCATGGGAGCTCTCTGGTGTCTATAAAGGATAGAGCTGAGAATGAAGGCTCTTGCACATTCATTACATTTATAAGATTTCTCTCCAGTGTGAACTCACTCATATTGTTTAAAGGATGAATGATTACTGAATGCATTTCTATATTGATTACAAAGAGTTTCTCTTCTGTGTGAGTTCTCTGTAATGAATAAAAGTTAACTCTCTGGCTAAAGTGTTTCCCACATTCATTACATTTATAGGGTTTCTCTCCAGTGTGAGTTAGTACATGTTGAGTCAATGTTGAGCTGTGAGTAACAACTTCTTTATACCATTATATTCAGAGAGCTCCTTTCCAGTGTGAAATCTCTGCTACTGAGGAGATAAAAGGCTGTTAAAGGTTTTCTCACATTCATTCATTCATTTTTCTATATGTGGATTCAATGCTGAGCATTCAGTGATAGTCTCCAGTTACAGTCTACCATGTTTGCTACATTCATATGGTGTGTTACTCTCCTTCGTGTACAGAAGTTTTCTCCTTTGTAGCAGGTCAACTGCATAGCTCTCTGATTAATTTTGAGGTCTTCATTATATTTCAAGCATGTGATACATTGGCTGTATTTATGCAATTGCCTTCTTATACAAACTCAGGTTATGGTTATGAGCTCACGTTATTCCTTTCTTCCCCAATTTCAAACTATCTAAACCTTTGAGCTGAGACAGAACACCTTCTCTAACCTCAAATTAAAGTCAAGTAATTGTGCTGCATTCTTAGTTTATCCCATTCCCAGGCCAACTCTACTGTGGAGGAACAGGGTTTACCTCATGAATATTTCTGTTGACCTGCTGTCAGATGGCTCCTTCCTGTATATATTCTATATGGAAGTTATATCTTGGTTTTTAAGACTTATATGGAAGTTATATCTGGGTTTTTAAGACTTTAATGCCTAGACTCTGGCCTTGGGAAAATCCTCTTCCCTCCCTCCATAGTTCTTTTCCTTGCATCAACTAGAAAGTCACATCTGATTTTCAGAGCTGATACCCCCAGGGAGACCAAATGACTGATGTTCTCCAGTGTTACATCTCTGTACAGCTTCCTCTGAGATGGGTCCAGCAGGCCCACTCTTCCTGAGTAAAGTCCATA